GCCGCACTAGCCCCGCTGGGGGGTCGAGTATCCCGCAGGCCCCCACGGCCGCCGGGTGACTGCAGTGAAATTGGGGTAGAAAATCCTTAGCTCGGCTGCGTAGCCGCTGCGATTGGCAGAAAGCGCCCAGTGAAAGGTTAACTCGCGCTATAAAGTTGACGGGGTTTCAAATTGACAGCGAGGCCTCCTGTGTGTCCTCGTCAGAGGATCCGCTGCAGAGCTCATCTTTTGGCAGTTCATTGCCTTCGTCTCGACGTGACTGCAGTGAAATTGGGGTAGAAAATCCTTAGCTCGGCTGCGTAGCCGCTGCGATTGGCAGAAAGCGCCCAGTGAAAGGTTAACTCGCGCTATAAAGTTGACGGGGTTTCAAATTGACAGCGAGGCCTCCTGTGTGTCCTCGTCAGAGGATCCGCTGCAGAGCTCATCTTTTGGCAGTTCATTGCCTTCGTCTCGACAAACAATGTTAATTGGTGTAAAGGGGGCAGTTGTTTACTTGTTTGAAGTGATTTAAAACACAAACTCCGAACAGAGATTGAGTTTGCTGATGTGAATGGTCTCCCTGAAACGTTAACTATTCAGGAAGGAAACTGACTTCAGTGATACTAGTATCATGAATAAAGTTAATTTTTTGCATGTGCATTAGTACGTATCAAGCCCATGTTTTTAAAATGAGAAGAGAATGAGGATATTTTATGAAACTGACATACTAAAAGGTGTGTGCAGAGAACAGCAAAATAATCCTTCAGTTTATAACAGTTGAAAAGCTTCAGTTATTTATCCCCAAATTAGAAAGTTCTCATTAAAAATTACTTGGTTCCTCTTTATAACATTCACAGGCTGTCTGAACGTAACTGCATAGAGATTGTTGCTAAACTGATTGCTGAAAAGCAGCTGGAAGTAGTGCACACCCTTGATGGAAAGGAGTATGTCACTCCAGCACAGATTAGCAGAGAGATACAGGATGAGCTTCATGTTTGTGGTGGTAAGAGTTACATTTTTTCCCTTCACTTCAATTAGATTAATAGCAAGATCATAAAAAATAATTTGGGGATTCTAAGATTGGCCTTGTTGTTCAATACATTTAGTATCACTTAAGTGTGCATTTCCCTGTTGCTTCATTGAAGATTAATTCCTCTTATTCTTGTGTCCCTTCCAAATTCTGCTACTGGCTGGTTATGAACCAGAACTGTCAATGTTACATTATTTTATAGTATCGAGAATATAGGACAAGGATGTTACAATACTTAACAATACATCTTTTAGTACCCTTAATATATCGATTTTATTTATTTCTGTGTGTGTGTGTGTGTGTGTTGATTTTATTTATTTCTCTGTGTGTGTGTGTGTGTGTGTGTGTATACACACATATATAACATGCTTTGATATTTTGTGGGGATTAATATTCACGTCTTTATGTATAATAAATAAAATAGTGATTTTATACATTCAGTAATTTTTGTGCTCTGTTTAATGTTAATTTCTCTATTGCTGTCAGATTGAAAGTGTGATTAAATTTGAATATTTTCATTGTACTTTTATAGACTTTTAAAGCCTTATCCCACAGTATAAAACAAGCATTGTGTATCTGGGCTTTTTTGTTTTGTTTTGTACTGAACATTACTGCTTACAGCCAGAAATCATCTAAATGTGACAGGCATATTTAGACAGTTTTCAAAGACAAATGAAAGATTATTGAATCAAGCAAATCACTCAACTAACCAGCCATTTTTCTCTGGGGAGAAATAAATGTATGTGCACTTATAATGAGAAATGTGAATCCGAAATGTTCCATGATGGGGTTTGACTTCACAGACGAATACTCATATTTCACAAGGAGATTATTTTTGAAAGGTTTGTCTCTTTTAGAAAACTTACAATAATATAACTGTCCGTTTAAAACTAATGCAATTACACCAGTGAAAACCTCTAATATAGATTCATTACATCCAGTGAATTGTAATTTAAACCAATTTGAGAACATCAGTATTGGAGATCTGTATTGGTGTAACCAGATTTCGTGTTAAATGGACTTAGAAAATTTGCACTGGTGAAACTAAAATAGATGAGGTCTAAGACTGCAGCCCTGCAGTCTTGATTCAGGATCAATTTTTTTTATGTAAAAAGTAGAATGAGAGCCAACATATTCCTCCATGTTTGTATGATATCACAGAGTGAAGAGTACTAAGAGCTTTTCTGTATTAGATATGATTTAGATGCCCAGGGAGCATATGTGACTTACCCTGATGCTCTAGGCCAGGCGTGGCCAACCCACAGACAACTCCGGGTGTGACCTTTATTCTTGCAAGCTGGTTGTGAGCATACCAGGCTGGGGAACCTGGAAGGAAAGCATTGTAAGGTATCCATAGTGACAGGGCAAGTTGGGACACCCTCCCTCACTGATTTGATTTGCATCCCCAAATCCAGCTCCCTTACCCAACACATTTTAAGAGCACTTTAGGAACCAGTTTCCCACATAGCTCCTACAGGGCTCATAGTAATCAGGAATTGGCACTGGTCCGTGTTGGTGAAGAAGTTCTGGGTCTTATTCCCTGTCATCAGGAGTCACCTAACTTCTCTGGAAGTGTTTTTTACTAAATGAATTGGCAAAAAGTGATTGCAGGAGTGCTGATTTTGTCCATTCATCTCTGTAATCTAAACTACTGACAGGGACAGATACAAATCCCAGATGTGCATGTCTTTGAAGTTGTGGTATCCTAGAATTTGGGGTGTTTGAAACCTAAACAAGCTTTGGAGCCAAATGTTGCAGCATACTGCAGTTGATTGGCTTGGTTCAGTTTGCAAAAAAAGGACCAAAATCAATATGTGCTTCAAATGTGCTCCATTTACTGATGTTTCAAGTGATGAATTGTTCCAAGTGATGGGGAGTTGGAAGGGTTTTTCTTTGCTATCCTGATAAATGCATCCCATTTCTGGAGAATGATAAATCATGCCTTTCTAGGCTCCTTATTGCTCTGCCTCCTTAAGAGGCTTCTTTCTTTTATACTGAAAAATATTGCGGCTCCTGGCGAAACCGAGATGGAACCTGGAACTACTTAGGTCAGTCGCTCTCGCAGCCGGGCCCCTGTGAGCTGCATGCATGCTCATGGCCCGCGCCGTTTTGCTCACAGCCCTCAGCGCACTACGTCATATCCTGCACGTGCAGGCTGGGTCACACATAGCATCCCAGCCTACATGTGTTAGCAGCTAGTTGCTGAGCGCAGGCAGTGGCAGCGGCTCTGGGACCCAGGCATAAGGTTGGAGGGGGTGGGAGGAAAGATGCCTGGCTCTGGAGAAGGGGATGGGAAGGTGTCTGGCTGGAGGAGGGGGGTTGGGAGGAGCGTGCATGGCGTGCTGGCCACTCAGTGCGCCAGCCGTTCACTGCACTCGCCCCAGCGTCTGGAGGGAGAAACGTGGCTGTAACAGCAGCGGTGGCTCCAGGACCCTCAAGGCCAGCCACTCAGCACGCACACCCCAGCGCCTGGAGGGAGATGTGCATGGCTGTAATGGCAGCAGCTCTGCCTCCAAGACCTGAGAATTAGGTTAGAGCGGGGGAGGGAGGGGGATTGGTATGAGGGGGCCGGTGCCTGGCTCTGGGGGGCTGGGATTGGGTTAGGGGTGTGTGTGCCTGGCTCTGGGGAAGAGGAGGGAGATTGGGGGAGGGGAGGGGAGGAGAAGAGTAGCTAGTGCACTTCCAGAGACCAGGGATCCCCAGGTACTGGCCCCAGCTGTCTCTGTCCCCTCCTCCTGGCCAGACCCCCCCCACGAGTACCCTGCCCCAGCACCCTGTCTTCTGTCCCCACCAGCACAGTTGGGGCCACATTAGTGAGGCTTTGGGGTTTGGCCCCAGCTGTCTCTGTCCCCTCCTCCTGGCCAGACCCCCCCCACGAGTACCCTGCCCCAGCACCCTGTCTTCTGTCCCCACCAGCACAGTTGGGGCCACATTAGTGAGGCTTGGGGGTTTTTGGAGCAGTTGTTTTTTCACATCTCACTTGTGTGACCCTGACTGACTTTTCTGTGGGTGGGTCAGTGACCCCTAACTCCGAACCGGTTCCCTGTCCCTCATAAATAAAGACAACGCTGAAACATTTTATGTTTGACATAATATTTTATTTTAAAATGAAGCCTGGCCAACAAGCTCCCAATTGGGGCCAATTCCCCATCTGGCCGCAGCATCATAACGCTCCTGCACCCCCCTCAGCCCCCAAACCTCAGCCTATCATACACTGGAACCCCCTGTCCTGAGCCTCTCACATCCCCAAATTCCTGCACCCCCACATCCCCAGTCTTCTGCCACAACACTTCTGTACCATCCACACACTGCACATCTGTGTCCTGAGCCCATCATACTCCCAGCCTTCCTGCCCTGAGCCCCTCATACACCCCAGCCCAAACTCCTGCACCCTCACAGCTACAAGCCTGCGGCTTGCTCAGCACCCCAACCCTCCACCTGACCCCAACACTCTCCATCCTGGAGCCCCCTCCCTGAGGCAGCATCCCCTTCTCTACTTCCTCCTGCACCCAAATTCCCTCCCAGAGCTTGCACTTCTCACCCCTTCCCAGTGCTTTTTTTGTGAGCCACAATAGCAGTGGAGACAGCGTGAAGAGCTGGGGAAAAGTTGTTAACACACACAAAAAGAAAAAAAAGAGCTGTGCCCTGGGACGAATGTTCCAGCACCTATTTTCCACCAGTGCAGCTTTTTTTTTTCCCTCAACAATTTTGCCCCAGTTCTTCACACTGTCTCCACTCTTCATCTGGAACGGGTTGGCCACTCCTGCTTGGGCAAATGAGTACAGGCAGTCCCCGGGTTACATGGATCCGACTTACATTGGATCCCTACTTACAAACGGGGTGAGGCAACCCCGCACTAGCTGCTTCTCATCCCGGGCTTCATTTGCAAGTGCGGTATGCCTACATTACCTTCCTAGTTCGAACTCGTAGGGTAGTGTAGACATACCCTGAGGGAAGTGAGGTGTGGGAGAATAAAACTGAGCTCTGGAGAAATGTTTGGCTAGAGTTTCCCCTACAATATGTACCAGTTCCGACTTACATACAAATTCAACTTAAGAACAAACCTACAGTCCCTATCTTGTACGTAACCCGGGGACTGCCTGTAGTTTTATGTCTAGGATACCGAATTCTGTCAGTGTAATTCTATCAGTCACAAGTGTGAAGACTATTCAGAAGAGAAAAGAAACTGACTTCAATGATATTAGTCACATGAATAAAGTTAACATCCCTGACCAACAGCTATGTCAGCATAAGCCCCTAACAAAGACACAATTATACCGGTAAAACTATGTTTTTAAACAGTATAGCATGTTTTACTGTGGGGAGTGGTTTTACAACTCTGATACAAAGCTCTGCTTTCCCAGTATAGCTGCATCCATCCTAGGTGCTCTTTGCTATTATAGTGTATTGGATAAGCATTCCTACTGTAGACATGGCCTGAATTATAATGTGGAGAAAGCATATACCTGTAGTTAACCTAATTAAAGTTTTTCTCTCATGTATGAAGTTCATATTGTGATGTTTGGTAAATAAGTTAACATGCCTGTCACATTCATGCACTCCAGCTGATTCCCCACCACCCCCCATCATTAAGGTATCTTAATGTGTGCTGCCTCAGTGTGTTAGCATGACAAATTTGGACATTTTTGCCATTTGACAGCAGTTTTCTTGCATATGTGGAAAGGGTGGTGGTTTCAGTTCCATCTGTAGTAGACATGTTCCTTTTCTAGTAGTGTCCATACGAGTGTTCCACAGTAGGTGCACTTACATCTCCTGTGCCCTTGATCAGAGATTTCTCATAACAGTGTCCATTTGGCCTGTGAGAACATGTTACTCAGATTCATGCCCCAGCCTGTTGCTATATGGCACTGTGCATGCTCATCATCCTTAGTTCTTTCTCATCTTAAGCTGGTGCAGTTGAAGCCTTAGCAAGTTGTCCATGTTGAATTTTAGCTCAACTGTGTTCTCTTAGC